CTAGAAATGGACTGATCCAATAATTGGCGAAAAATATGTTCAGAAAAGAAATTATTACATAGAAAAGTACGAACCATCTTATTACCTACAAGATGAACCTCAATATTGAAATAATCCAGTAATTTCATCTAATATTCAACAAGGTTGGTCAAAGTACATATTGCTGGTGGACTGCAAGTGAATTATATTTGGTATTTTGATAAACTATAAAGAGAATAAAACCAGTGGTCTTTCGTCGGTCGGAAACACTAAAAAATTTCAACATAACATGCTGTTAATTTGACTCGGACTCATCAAAAATGAGCTTGAATAATTAAAAAGATCAAATAAATGAAACGCTTATAACCGTTTTACTCTGAGAACACTGTTCAGTACCACGTTTTTTCATAAAGTCATATAAATATAACTCAATAACGTAATCGATTTCTATTTACTGTAGAGTCAAATATTGCATAAGGCAATTTATTACTTACATGATGACAATATGAGGATAACAGTTAATGTTAGAAACAGCTCAACATTAGTGCAGAGAACTACGTAAATACTGAATCTTTTGAATCGTCTTCTTATTGTATAATTTGAGGCAATTATATATTCTCAGAACTGAGGGGGTTTATTGTTATATTACTGTGTCGCCATTGTATTTAACCTATTGCCTATCGTGCGTCGTATAAATGTTCGCGTTACGGCTTCGTCTATAATGTTAAGCTCCCGTCCCAGACAGTGTTCAGAGCTAATCAACAGCATTAGCAGAAATTGATGGAAATATTCGCAGAACTACTGCGACAATGATGCAGCAAATTGAGCCAGCCTTTCTTTGAAACTATCGCTGGAAATATTTCGACATTCCATTTTTATCTGAATGAAAACCAAATATCCAATACGTGGTTTAACCGTTACCCGGACTTGTTTTCAAAAGACGCCTTAAAACTGGACGATTCAGCGAATATTCGCCTACTGCTCAGCAAGACGGACGATCTAGCATATGAAAAATACACGAATTTCATTTTACCTATAAGTCCTGGCGATCTTTCAATGAAACTGTAGCAACACTGGAACCATTAATCCGCCGAACCATTATTTAATCCTCATTGATACCATTGTTTAAATTTATGAAAGAAAAAATACGAAGATTTCGACATTTTTAGAATTAAAAAAATTTTAGAATTAGAATTAAATAATATCATCTACGATATCATTTAAAAGCTTTATATTATGCAGGAAAGTTGAAATGTTGATCTTTTATCAAACGATTATCTATCACTAATATATTTAGTTTAACTTGGATTACTTTGGAATTGCCCTTTATTTCTCTTTATATTGTTTTCTTTTTGTCATATTCCTTTTATCATCTGTATCGCAACCACTAATTCTTTTCATCTGATACTTTATTTTTTTGATATTAATACAAACACATGGCGCTTGTCACACTGCTTGGTTGCTTAAATAAATAAACCTCATTTGACGAACGAACGAGCAATTCAAATGATTCAATTGCTCCATTCTCCAGAAAATAATGCTATTCGTACACTGCTGCATAAAATTAAATACGAATGGAACACCTACGATTCATTCGCTGATCGAGAAATGCAATCGGTACAACCTATCGCATGATGATAAAATGACTAATAATGAAACGATTAAAACTTTCATGTAGCCAATCATGAAACCAAATCGCCAATCTGTAATAAAAATTCCAGAAAACGATGTTGGTTTTGTAGCCATTAGAAATGCTTTATCGAAGTGATTATCGAAATACTTGGTATGCATACAAAAAAATAAAGAATTTTGGGGCTCAGATAAAAAAAAGTAAAAGATATTCTGAAACAAACGGAAACCAAGAAGAACAGTGAATTAAATCGAGGTGGAAACTAAAAAAATCTAATAATGCAGTGCACATTAATAACAGTCAACAATTTGTAAGTTTTGCAAAAGTTGAAATAAACATGTCCAATGACTTTTAAACTGGATAGCCGGTTAGATTGCATCAGCTTCTTATTCAGAGAATCTTGGAAGGATATCGGACCACCGAAACTAAGGAAACCATCTGCAATATTGAGAAATGTAAGCGGTAACATTATTAAAACAGATGGAGAATTTCGATGCCTTTTCATTTTCAAAATAAAAAGTTATGAGACATGAGTTATGTTATGTTATGTTATGCTAGGAGTAAATCTCGAATTACCAAAAAATCTTAGTCTTTGTGATGTTTTCAAATTTTGCCGAACATGATAGCTTATGCGGGAGTCAAAAAATGACAATCAGCGAATGAAAAAACAGTATAACCGATGCTTAATCATTCCTTTCCCTGGTTAACTTGTCTATGTAGAGTATTATCAAAACCAGTGAGAAAGATGATAACCAATAAAAATAATTCAGAGAATTGGAAGAGTATTATATAAGGTCGAAATAGGACAGTAGGACAGCAGAATGAATAAAGCATCAATCGAGTCGCACCTGACTCACGAAGATCAGCCAGAATTCGAAAACCCAAGCAGAATCGATCCGAGCCCACAGAATCGCAAATATCAACTCTTTTTCTTAAAAATATCCTTTTTCCTTAGGAAAGAGATATTGTAAGGTCAGATATTATATAAGACAGAACTAGATAATTTCATCTCTATTAGAAACGGCTCAATATTAGATCTACTTCTTTGTTTTCAAAACCTTGTATTATTTTGGGCTATCATATTATTCTGCAAACTATAGGTCTACTATTATATCATTGTGTCACCACTGTATTTAACCTATTATCTATCGTACGCATAAACTTCGTGCTAAGGTTTTGTCTAAGGTTGCGCTCGCACCCGCGATATAATACTCTCAAAAAAGTATTTACGATGATAAGCTAGGTGATTAACACTTATTATTTCTAGTTAAAGCCTCTGCCAGCCGTTGCTGTAATTAGAAATTTTCACCAAGGAATCACTTGGTGAAGGTGGATGGCCAGCACCATCTGAATTCCAGATTTATTCATCAGGAAGCAGGAGCTCAATAGAAGACTCACAACACCACAGCTATTAACCAAGCCAAAAACACAACATTTATTCAGTTTTCTATTCTTGGTTAGCCATGCAAGAACAAATGCCTTCTAATTAAATTTTGGGCGGCTTATTTGAGAAAGCTGATGCAGTTCAATAAATTTTCACTTTTATTACAAAAATAGATTCTGGCTAAAACTTACTATATGTGGAGTGCAAAAATGTAAGAACAGGAAATGAACAATTCAAACAATTTTTTTCGAATTCTCACTCTCCTCCGGCATATTATTTCGGTTCCTCCTCCACATTATTTTCCTGCATATCCGTTTAGGCATTTCATTATGCATGAAAAAATTATGCAATTCACAATTCAGAGAGGCAGAAATCAACAGTTTCCTTTTCTTACATTGACAGTTCCCAAATATTTACTTTATTTAATATTTCTATCTCAATTTAAATAACTTGACTTTCTTTTTATCACACTCGCCATTCCTCTTTGGACTACTCGCACTGCTGCTTATTAGGATAAGAGGCAATTGCAAGGGGAAAGAAGTAAGTATGAACAAGCAGAGCCCAGCACCATCCAGTTAGACTTAAAATGACGCTCTAAGAGACAAGGACTGGCTGCTGGTCCATCTTCCTCCGAGTTACTCCGAAGTAATAAGACGGCCGCAAGGAAAACAGGTGATACAGTGAAGGAAAGAAACGAAAAAGGAAAAATGCAAACGTGCATCAAATAATCGCTCGTGAAATATTTCTACACTCGCAAAAGCCAACATAAGCCAACATAATGATAAACTAAATAATTTTTAGCGGTGACTGATAAGTTGCCACGACGAACTGTATGCATAACTCATCGCGTAATCCCCTTTAAAGTTGCACCACTTCAGCAACATAATTATCACCTCACTACCAGTTAAGTCACGGATCGCCATAACTAGAAAATTAGATGGCCGTGCACAATTCATGGCCGCGCAATGTGAAATTTTAACAGTCGGCCAATAAAGGTCAGATGCGTTAATTCGTTAGAATTAAAGAAGTCGGCGCAGACATTGATGAGAAGAATTGTGTGGTGCAGAAGTCGTTGAATTAAAGTATTCGATTATCGTAATGGTTGCTCTATGGCTTTGCTTTGCGTTTGATTTCTTTCGGTTGAATTTTAATTTTCAGTAATTTCAGCAACTTCTTGTTTCGTATGTTCGAGATTTTGCATTTCCATTTCGTTGAACTTACAATGTAACTTATAGTGCATAAAAAAATAATGAAAAATAATTTACGAATTAGCTCCGCAAATTTTCTAAATTTCTCCATTAATGTACGTGTCGTGTTCGCTTGGGGCAAAACGCGGCCACAGCACGGACGTCTGACTGGCCCACGCTTAGAAATCGTCCTCTAGAAAGGAGGAGTGTAAGTGGTTTGCTAGTGAGACACGCCGGTTTGTTCGCCTCTGTCCGGGGCTCTTCGCGTTGAGCTCGCAATGTATCCTTAATTGAAATAACATACTACTCGACCATTTTCAGTTTGTTCTTTTCGTGTAAAGCGTTTTTTATTTCTCCTAATCTTCGTTAATTTTTTCTTTCCTTTTATAACTGTCGTAACCTTAAAAACGGTTGTATTTTTCTCATTTTTTTCCTTGGATTTGTTTCCAGACTTTTATTTTTTGGATTTGCCAGTTGTTACTATTCAGGTTATCGTGCAGCGTACAATGTCATCTCGTCATAGGATTGATCTCAACGATGATAAAAAAAGGGATCGCGATCGTCGGAGACGGTTAATTTTATGATTATAATGGAAGGAGGAAATGCACTCTTCGTTATCTCCGCCTGTTTATCTCCTTCTGCATATCTTTGTTACATTGTCTTTGTTACATTATATCTTAGCGTACTACCCTGCCGGGTATTAACTTGTCGTTTTTCATGTCCATCTTTATTTTTCGTTCTTCATAAGAGAAAGACTATAGGCTATAGTGTCTGGCAAGCAGTAACAAGTATTTATATTTCAGATTAGCCTTTGCTTTTGGGAAACGCAATGTCTTTTTTTTACTTTTCGACTTTCAGGTCTCGTTCTCGATCACGTTCTCCTCGCCGTCGGGATCGTAGTCGCAGCGCGACTCCTGATACAAGGAATCATCTTGAGAAACCTATTGTGCCTCCAACATCGTCGTCTTCTCAAAAGGCAGCAGTTATTTTTTTCCACTTTCTAGATTCGTTTGTTAAATATAGATTAAATACTTTATACATTTTCTAAAAGCATTCACTATTTCTGGTTAGATTGGATTCTCTAGCTTGTTGGGCGAGGCATATTTTTATAGGGAGTTATTTGGCGACAGTACTTGTGAGTCGCTAACATTACTGGATTTGTAAAAGACCGGTTAACTATTGCCAGGAATAGAGCTCCATCATCGACGCTTTGAAATTGAAATTTATTTTGTATTGGCTTTAAAATCTCCATTATATTTCTTGAATAAATGTTATAAAATGTAAACAACGATTAATAAATGAATCAATTATAATTTATAAAATGCGTTAAATAAATTTTTATTTATTTTATAATTTTTATTTATTTATTTTTATTTATTTATTTAAATTTTTATTTATTTGTTCTCCATATTTATTTGTTTTTTAAATGTATCTATATGAAGCAGATTTCTTTTATTCATTTCTTTTTATAGGCTCATTCAAATCCATATACTGGGCATCCATATTCTACTCGTTATTGGGATTTATGGAAGAAGCGTTCCACTCTTCCGGTTTGGGAATATAAAGAGAAATTCATGGAAGTTCTTCAAGCAAATCAGGCAATTTTTAGTTCTTTTTCGCAGTGAACCAATTGAAATTTCGTATTCAAAAGATTCCACTTTTACCAATTTTTAAAAACTTCATAACATTTTAATTACAAATAAAATTAGGGGAGAAAATTTTAAAAATTTTTAGTGCTTAACGTTGGTTGGAGAGACTGGCTCTGGAAAAACGACACAAATCCCTCAGTGGTGTCTAGAATATTGTAAGTCAAGAGTTGTTTATGGTGGGCAAAAAAAGATGGTTGCATGCACTCAGCCTCGCCGAGTAGCTGCTATGAGTGTTGCAGCTCGTGTCGCTGAAGAAATGGATGTTCAGGTGCCTTTTTGGTGTTTCTTGTACTTTTCCCACTTTTTGTTCATTTATATTGAATTTGCCAATTAAGTTTGCCCAGTTTTTAAAGTTGATGAATAAAATTGATCATTATAATATATATTTAGCTTGGAAGTGAAGTCGGTTATTCGATTCGGTTTGAAGATTGTGTCAGTGAACGTACCATATTAAAATATTGCACGGATGGTATGTTGCTTCGTGAAGCTATGAATTGTCCACTTCTTGATAATTATGGCGTTATCATTTTGGATGAGGCACATGAGCGCACTTTAGCAACAGATATTTTAATGGGTCTTATAAAGGTAAAGGTTTTTTCGAATATCAGTTGTGGCCTAATTTTCCTCAGTTTTTTTTCATTTCTTAGTTATAATTTTGATACATACAATTTTCTTCATTTATTTTGTTTCTTTATGCTTCCACATTCTACATTAATTACATTACATTAATTAATTACTCTTTTATTTTTCAGGAAATTGTGCGTCAAAGAAACGACATAAAAATTGTGGTAATGAGTGCCACTTTAGATTCTGGAAAATTCCAAAATTATTTCGAAAACTGTCCCTTAATGTCTGTACCAGGTCGAACGTTCCCCGTCGAAATATTTGTAATAATTATTATTACAAAATAATTATTCTACTCCTCTTTAATTCATTTCATGTTTTCTTATACATTATCATTATGATAAAAAAACTGTTCAGTATACTCCCGAGCCAGAAAAGGATTATCTGGAAGCGGCAATACGTACTGTCATTCAGATTCATATATGTGAGGAAATTGAGGGCGATATTCTTCTATTTCTAACTGGGCAAGAGGTTTTTTGCTTATTTCCGTTTTGCCAGAATTTTTCATGAGAAGAGATCTTATAAAAATTGTTAGTAATCCTTTTTTTTTATTACTGCTGATACCTATTTTAGGAAATTGAAGAAGCATGCAAAAGGATTAAACGAGAAATTGATAATCATGGTGCTGAAATTGGCGAATTAAGATGTATACCACTATTTTCAACTTTACCACCGAATTTGCAACAACGGATTTTCGAACCATCACCATCAAAGCGTCCAAATGGAGCTATTGGTATTGTTTCATTTTTCGCACACCTCTTTGTTTTTTTTTCAGAACATCACGAATGCATTAACTTCTCTACGCTTTTCGAGATGTTAATTAGGATATTTTTTTTGAAATATTGAATCGTCGTTCTTACATTGTCTTTTTTTGTGCTCGTGATGTTTCTGAAAAAAAATTGTAGTTGAATCGATTTGTGATGAAATTTTTGGAGCCCCTTGTTGACGGCGCCTAGCGTAAATTGCAGGTCGCAAATGTGTCGTTTCGACGAATATCGCAGAGACGTCACTCACAATAGATGGCGTCGTTTTCGTTATTGATCCTGGATTCTCGAAACAGAAGGTTTGTGTCAGTGGTGAACCGTGCGCCGTCACCATTTTAGGACTGGAACTAAATTCGTCAATAACGTGATATCTGTCTATATTGGCCAGTATTCATTTTTAAAAAATGAAAATATATATATTTAGGTTTATAATCCGAGGATTCGCGTAGAATCTCTACTTGTCTGTCCTATTTCAAAAGCATCCGCAATGCAGCGTGCTGGACGGGCAGGTCGTACAAAACCGGGTAAATGTTTTCGGCTTTACACGGAAAAAGCCTACAAAGTTGAAATGAATGATCAAACTTACCCTGAAATTTTAAGGTATTTTTCCTTTTCCTTTTTTGTTAAGAATTTTCGTTTTTAGATGTCCTTTTTTTTATTCAGCTTTAAAATACAGTGATGTTTGCTTTGAAACTTTTACCTTATACCATGCTATATTAATATTTATGTATAAAATATATACAAAATTATTTTAGATCCAATTTGGGTACGGTCGTATTACAATTAAAGAAGCTTGGTGTAGAAGATCTTGTTCATTTTGATTTTATGGATCCTCCGGCTCCTGAAACACTTATGCGAGCTCTCGAATTACTGAATTATTTGGCGGCAATAGATGATAATGGCGAATTAACACAGCTAGGCTCTCTTATGGCTGAATTTCCTCTAGATCCTCAACTTGCAAAAATGGTAATTGCATCCACTGAGCTTAATTGCTCCAATGAAATTTTAAGCATCACTGCCATGCTTTCAGGTATTTTATTTTCTGGAAGAACTGGAAGTCCTTTATTCTTTGTTTGTGATTAAGCCAATATTGCAGTACCACAATGTTTCGTACGCCCTACTGAAGCAAAAAAAGCAGCCGATGAAGCTAAAGCTAGATTTGCTCATATTGATGGTGATCATTTAACGCTTCTTAATGTTTACCATGCCTTCAAGCAAAGTAAGTTTCCTTCATTTCATTTGCTTATGGATATATAGTTCGAAGTTTTCTTTTTATTTTATATTATGTTACTATTTATTCTTCTGGACCTTATTTTTTTTGTTCAGATCATGAGGATGTTCAATGGTGCTTCGACAATTTTATCAGTTATCGTTCTTTAAAGAACGCTGATAATGTGCGTATTCAGTTAGCTAGAATCATGGACAAATATAACTTAAAAAGATTGTCTACTGATTTCAAAAGCAAGGATTATTATTTGAATATTCGAAAAGCTCTTGTTGCTGGGTTTTTCATGCAGGTTTACATTTATTAATGAAAATTAAAATCTCCAAACTCAATATTTTTTCTTTTCACTAAAGTAGTAAATTTTAAAAAATAGGTAGCACATTTGGAGCGAAGCGGTCATTATATAACAGTAAAAGATAATCAGTTGGTACAACTACATCCTTCAACGGTTTTGGATCACAAACCCGAATGGGCGCTCTATAACGAATTCGTCCTGACAACCAAAAATTTTATTCGAACTGTTACAGATGTCAAACCTGAATGGTTTGTACGCTTTTTCATTCATTAATCGTGGATAAATTTCGCGATAAAATCGTGAATAAATTGGATTAAGGATTAAGGAAATTATCTGTGTTTAATTCAAATAAATTTATTTTCAACTTTTATCGTGCCAGAGAAAAGTATATTCATTATTTTTTGAAATATTTATTTTTACTTATTTATTTTTACTTCATTTACTGAACTATTTCAAGGTTGCTTCAAATGGCCCCGCAATATTATGATATGTCTACTTTTCCGGAATGCGATGCCAAGAGAAAACTCATGCAAATTATAAATACTATGAATTCATTACGCAACCAGCGAGTTATTTAATTTTAAAAAATGTAATTCCTCTTATCATCTTTATTTCGCATCACATTTTTTTGGCAAATAATATATGGCAAATTTTTTGTTTATTAGAAGCCAATACAACAAAAATATTTGAAAATATTAAATATCTTGTTATGTGTTATTTACTTTATTTACTTTATTTATTTCCTTTTTCTTTGAATAAGATATAAATTGTTTTCAGAATTATGTTTTTTAAATTAAAATTCGATGAAATCGTATTAATTTGTTTGAACGTTCATCAAATTTTTCTACTGTAGTTGTAATTATTTATATTCTTGCAGGATTTTCCACATAATTTCGTAACATTTGATATTTGCAGCTGACTTCTTAGTTTCACTTAGCTTCTTAGCGTTTGCAGACTTCTTCGTAATTTTTGCATATAATCCATAGCGTTTGCAGATTTCGTGATGCTTATGAAGGGAACACCCAGCAAATGTTTTTTACGTTGAACTTTACATTGGTTTTGAAGCACATATGTTTATGTAAATAAAGAAGTTTTCATGTAACTGAAAAAAAATCAGTGATATTTATATATATTTGTGGTACCTTACTCTGCTTGCTGGTTATTTGACATCCACGACTGTCATTACATAAATATATATACTTTACAAACAAAAGTACTGCAAAAAACTTTTTTAGTACGTACTGCGGTCCATTAAAGTTTCACATTGACTTTTTACTTAAATGCAGATGGCATGAAAAAGAAAAGTAGGGAAAATCAATAGCAATTTCACATATATTATTTGTGATTGCAATGTGCTGAAAAAAAGAAATAGGAACGCTTTCTTGACATTTCAATTAATTTTGTATGTCGTGGAACAATTTGTAAATAAATATACTACGAAGTGTTACGGAATTATGTGGAAAGCAAAATTATATGGGGAAATCATGTTTTGAAAAAACTTAGAACTGACTTAGAACTGAAAACTGACTTAGAAACTATACGACGGTAACATTTTCTTGTGAACAAAATGTGGCTGAAATCTTTCGTTGTCATGAATAAACTAATATATTTTTGTTTCATTTTAATGGGAAAAATGAAAAATCTTAAAAATCTCTTTAAAGAAGTTAAATGTACACACAAGCTCGGTATAAAATTTTCTGCAAATCGTAGTTCAAAAGTATTAAATAAAATTTTTAAAAAAAAAGCAAAAAGCAAACTTTCTGCGAGGATGCGCTAATTTTACGCCAATTAATAGATTTCAGATTTCCGTGGAAGAATGAAAGAGATGAAGTCTGGAAAATTTGGTGAAATCTGTTTATATGACTGCCTAAGTCGTTTTAAAAATTTTTTACTGGGCTAAGATTATATTTTGTCCATATATTTTTCAGGCTGAAAAGTGTGTTTCATTTTCTCTCACCTGTGCCCAAAACCGCACCGTATTGGTTTAACGGGAAATTTTTACTAAAAGCCGCTTGGTGACAGAATTTTCATTTGGATTTTTTAACATTGGGCTTGCTCCTGTCCGAAGCTTTGCCTCTCATTGCGATAATCTTCTGATAAACTACTTCATTCGATTACCTCGCTTCCACAAATGAATAAAATCCAACTTTCTTTTAAAATGCGTTCTGTAATTTGGGCACACGAAAAGTTTAAGAAGAAATAGCATTGTTCTGCGATATTTATATATATATATATTTATTTATTTATTTATATATTAAACTTATTTATATATATTTATATTTATATGTATATTTATTATATATTTAAAAATATATAAATAAACAATTATTAATACACATATTCAAAAATATTATTGCATATTTAAATGAATAATAAATAACATTTATTTAATAAAATTTTAAAAAATTATTGAAAAGTTTTTGATCGATAGATTGAATTAAACTGAAAAAATTTCTGAATGATCCTTTCATCCATCCGGTCCATTCCTGTCCATTCATCCATTTGTCGATGCACTGTTAAATATGGGAAGAAAATTTCGCTGAAAATTGGCCACCAATCATTAGTTCATCGGAATCAGTAAAATTAAATTTAAATTCAGTAAGATTAATTAAAATTACTTAGACTGTTCAAAGATCACGAATCTGACGTTGAAATTAGTGTGGTGAGGAGTAAATTAATGTAAATGTAGTTATTGTTTAGATTAATAACTTTTCATAAATGATAAAGGAAAGGATTAAGTGCGAAGGAGCATTTCAAAAAAAAAGAATGAAAGCGACCACAGCACATAATAAATATATGTGAAAGGATTTCAGAGGTTAAAACAAAGGATGATAGAAATTTTCAGAGAATTGCAGGTTTTGCCGGATCACGAATATTGTAGTTTGCACCGAGAAACCATATTTTATTTGAAATCCGAGTGGTGATGCAAATTCGCCTTCTTTTTTAATTATTAATGTTGGAATAAATTGTTCCAATTCCAAATTTCTATAAAAAAATCATTTCAGTTATAATTTATGTAGTAATTAAGATTTTGGTGTTTATTTTATGTTTGCTGGTTGACCTCTTTATTCAGTTTCAGCTCCGAGACAGACTTCGAGAGGATGGCAGTTTGGATTATCTTTGAGCGCCAGTGGTACGGTTTCTTATCTCCGACAACATTATCAACATTGTCAACATTATCAGTCAGTAAAGCGCGCTGATATATACTTCTATCGCCAAGATATACCTAAATTTCTTATCGTGCTAACACTCAGCGAAATTTCCTTAAGCAACATTTCTTTCAGTCACTTTAATTTTTAATCAATTAATATCATTTGAATATGTATTGCAAAAAATTTTTTTATTTAATTTTTTATAATAAATAAATTAATCGGTCAAATGCAATAAATTCAATTTATATGCACAAAAATTTCATTTTATCATTGATTTTTGATAAATTGAAACTTTTCAATGTAAATTTTTCTCTTTTTTCTGTTTAATGCACTAAAGCTTATTTTTTTTAATTTTCACTATTTTTAGCAACTTTGTTGATTAAAAATTGAATTATTGCGAAAAGTTTTATAGTTTACCATTTTTCGAATTTTTTATCCATGATGTTTCACTTAAGTGAAGCAGCATTAGAATCTCGATTGACAAGTCGGTGGCTGAAGTCATCAATATGCTTTATTAATTGCTTTTTGATGAAATCACAACCACACAAGCACAACAGCATCGCATCCTATGCGTGTCCAGTCTCACTTGAATATAACTGGTTATATTTGAGAGTAATAAAAACGAGACGTTTTAACTATCTAAATCCATATAACGTTTGGCCACCTATGTGTTGACAATCTCTAATTGATAAGTCATTCGTAGAAAAATTTCTTTTGCGAAGAAATTTCGTGAAATATAGCTTTTCTTCTTTTTAAACTTGCAAACCAGCCACATGGATGATAGAAGCGCAGGGAATCAAGGCTACTGCGCAGCTCGGACATCATCACTTCCGTCAAACGACGAGAATCTATAATGGTTTCATCTCTGTCGAAGCAACATAGAACTCGGTTATTTGTTAATATTTAAAGGCGCTCTTTAGTTTTCGATTTACTGACTTTATTTATCCGTGTTTAAATTAGCCTACTGATTGTTTTTTACAATTTATTTATTAAAATAGTAAGTAAGTGGACAGTACTCACCATTTGTGGTTAAGCTAGTTCTTCGAAAGGCTAGAAACTTTTGCAGAGAACCAATTGGCAGTAGGAATAAAGGTGGATCACCAGCACTGCTTGACTTTTTGATGGTAAGTTTTTTTAGGGGAAGGAGACAAATGGTCCGTAAAGCGATATTCGAATAATCCCACTAGCCACTTGGCTATCGCTCAAATTCGTATTCATTATTATTGATGTAAATTTCCTTCAAGTAATTTTTGCCAGTTCTCTTTTTCTGATTTCATGAGATTGGAAATTTCTAATTAAATTTCGACTTAACTCTATGAAATATTGTCGCATTAGATCGTTCATTTTTTGTTGCCTAGGCTGTTTTTCCATAGCAACCCGTTTGTCATTTTACAGAATCAAGTCAACTGGCTTGGTTTTTATTGTCAATCATTTTCATGTTGACTCTCTATTTGCCGATAATTATGCCAATTACCAGAGAAATTATCGCAGTTATGATGGATTTAATAATGGCCCATTCTTGATTTTCGATATCATTATGTGTTTAGGCGAGTTTCTGTGGAAATCTGGTATTTCCGGATTTCATACGCTTTTCAATTAATTAAATAAGCTTTAACTTTTCACGATTCGTTAGCATTCCATTAAATATCAAGCGTGAAATCATTAATGAAATTGCTTCTACCCCATTCACCACTGTCATTTCAATCACAAAGTATGATTGAACTTGTCGATAAAGCTGAAAATATTAGCAATTTACATAGGTCATCGAATATAGATAATAAGAATGCAAGAAAACGGTTAGCTTTTTTCATATTTTCAAGAATTTTATATTTTTTGTTTTTTTCTATTTTTTCTTCTTCTTCTAACAGTTTTCACCATTACTGGTTAAGCTGGCTCCAACAAGGATAAGATGCTTCCAAGTTGCGCGGTCTGATGCCATCATCGACAGTAATAGAAACCACTCCTTTTTCCATCGTCTAAGTCCATACATTGCTTGTCAAAGTACTATTTAAATTATTTATAATTCATAGCATTTCGTTCGTTCGTTCATTTGTTCTTCGATCGAAAATTAAATTTTGGTTTTGAGAATCACTAATAAATTAACTAATCACTAATAATATTTTTTTTGCTTAGTTAATATTAATTAATTTAATTAATTTATTATGAATTTATTAATTTTAATTTTAATTAATTTATTAATTTTGATTTTATCTTATTGTAAATTTTAAATTTTTGTTAACTCATTTATGAAAATTTTGTTTGAATTTTAAAAATTTAAATTTGAAAAGTTTCGGCATTTTTCCATCGAAGAAATATTTTCATTTGTTCTAATGATAACCAGTACTTCTGGTTCTGCCAGCTTTATTGTCGCAATGGTACCAATCCGCTTGGGAGTAGATTAAAAATCGGTACTTTTACTTTAAAGAGTAAGTTTATTGTCATCAAGAAATAGGAAACGAACTTAGAATGATTTGACATTAGTCGAAGCAACATAGTGCCCATCCAATGCAATGAAAAAACATACATGAAAGTTTTTTCTCGCAAATGTTTGTTTATCAAGTGATGTAAAAAGGCATTAAAATTAATAAGTCCTGGAATAAAAAAAAACAAATTTAAGGTCTGAAGATGAATGCATTCAATTGCCGACTTTCTAATGACTTTCTAATTTTTTCCAAATTTAATCACGTTTTTTTGTTTTGTTTATGTTTTTTCACGTATTAGTTATTCATATCGATCATACTACCTGGCTAATTAATATTTATTACTCGCACGCAATAACGGTTAAGCTAGGGATATTTAGGGTGAGCCGGTGGCTTAGTGGGAAAAGACGGTTATCATCGAGAAAAGCTCCGATTCGAATCCGGCCGACGCATCACACTTGTTTCTAAAATCGAACGGCAGTACGAAACTATAGAAGATCAGAATCGGTTGTTGTTCAATTTGCAACGTCGATGTTGAGGTTCTATGTCCCTCAGAAAAGCTGTCCTTCAAAGATCCGGATAACGCTGGCGATTCACCAGGACTTCTATTGCCAAGTGACCCCCGGGCAAAATTTGTCCGAGCCTAACAAGCAATGCACTCTGTCCGCTCTTAGAAAAAAAACTTTAAGTTCGTCGCTGCTATTAGTTATAATTTATTTGTACCATGAGGCTAGGACGAAAATTAATGCGCCAATTTGTAAATATTTTTTTTTCTTTGCATAAATTATTGAATTTCTTAAGTTTTTTCTTAACTAAAGTTTTTGTCAACCTTTTTCTAAAATTTGTGAAACCATTATTTTTATCGGTATTTGCGATATTATTATCTGAATTTTAGAAAATAGATTCAACAAATCAGCGAATTTTATACGAATTAAATAGTTTAGATCATGTTCCAATGGATTTCTCAGATCCACACGGACCTAAATTAGTAACCGATCTAAAAGAAATAAAGTTGGTTGCATATAAGTTAAACATTTCCGCTTTTTTTCGTGATTTTTGAAATTACTTACTTGTTCATACTCATCATAATTTTTTTTGTTATTTTGAATGATCTATTGCAAGTATTAAGAGAATGGAGTCAAGGGTGTTATTAACAAGTAAATCCGAAGCATTGAGGAATTACGGGTATTTCTGTTCCCAAGCGACTTCCCAACGACTAAATGTAATATTGAATTGAATATTGATTATTAGCCTGGTAGTTAATGGGTAAGCCAAACCAGAAATGATCCACTACAACTCCACTACAACGAATCAGGAGAAATATATAAAAATATCCCCAAAATTTACCGTTTAATTCCTTATTCAATTTATCGCACAGAACGATGGTTTTATCACAATAAAGCTGAAGAAATTTTCAGACGATGTGAGAAAAAAGATGGGGAAGATAAATATCTATGTAGTTCATCGTTTTTATTTTTTACAAGTCTCATTTTCATAAAATTACATATTAAAAAAAATTCTCCTAAACCATTTGATCTGGATTTGCCTGGCTCTACCTGCCATTGAAACTCGATTCATTTGCCACAGAGTCACCAATGATAGGTGGGTCACCAGCACCGCTCTGCGTACATACACTATGATCATATCAAACTCAATCAGTGTTTGTTGCATAATGAATCTTGTTTTGCATAGATTACGTGGTCTTGATACATAACTTTTTCACAAATTTTTTTGAATAAAAATCACAAACTTTTTCACACAAAGATAGGTTAGATGATTGTTTTTCCTATAAGAATCTTAGCTTCTTCATTTGCTGATTTATTCTATTTATCTGAGGATAAGAATGCGTATTTAAGTATTAAATTTATTAAATATATTGTATATATCAAATTTTTTTTAAATTTTGGTTTCTTAAACGAAATAGTACAAGCAAATAAGTGATTAAGTGATCGGCATTTACCATTTCTGGTTACCTCGGCTTATTAATGTGGTTAGCAATTTGTTGGGAAATAGGCGAGATTGGGAAGTAGAAATACAGATGGATTGCCAGCACCACTCGAATTTTTTAATAATAATAATAATTTTACGTCGGGGCAGGACGACAATCTGCGCCACTATCCATTCGGCTGGAAGCAATGAAGACTTTTTGTTAGACTTATATTTTCTTTATAGGTGATCAAAATAAGTGCTCTTGAGACTTTTTTTGGCTCCTTTATTATACGAATTAACGAAAATAACAATCTTGTTTTAACGATGTGTTTTAAAAATCGTTTATGGCATACCGCTATTCGTAAATTTTTATTTTTATTGTTGATTAAAATAAAAAACGTGCGAAAATACAGTTAGATTCCATCTTTGAAGAATATTTATGAATTTAATATTCACTGCTCCTGTGGGCAGAATAGCAGAGTGGACACTCAGGTTATCGTATTGAGATGCAACGGTTCTGGTCCTCCCGGCGAGAACAACTCTGTCTTAAAAGCGGGTATTATGCCAGTGCTTCTATGCCAAGTGATTCTTTGGCAAAAATTTCTAATCATATTAACGACTAATGGACGAGACCAGCCAGAAACTGTGAGCGTTAAGTAGTCAAATACTTTACTCATTGCTAAGTAAAGTAACTACCGAATCTACAATTAACATTGAAAAGCGGGATAATTTTTAAATTTGCAAATATGCCAATTTCCAAGGCCTTCCTTTATATCGTAATTCTTTTTTTCTTTATTTACTTTATTTCTCGTATTTCACACTTCCTATTTCTGATTACTACCGTAGTTTCCATCCTTTTATGAGCCTTCAGGGACTTCCGATATTCAGCATTTTAGCGAATTATCGAAAAAAAAGGCGAAATAACTATAGAGAACCTGATAAATAAATTTTGCCATCGAATCGTTTGTTGATGGCCACGAATCGAAGTTATTTATTGAAAAAAACCACCATTTTTCGAATCTCATGAACTAGTTTCATTTTATGCGAGCCATCAAGGATCTTTGCAGTGTATAAAGGCTTATTATGGGAAAAGAACAAGTACTTGTCGCTCAGGTAATTGTCTCGAGCGTCAAAATTCGAACCTAGATCTTGATAGGAATGAACCTGTCGTTAAAAAAATCGGACTAACTCTACCCGTACTTTCAATGGGCATTTATTTATGCTTTTGATCTCTCACTCACAAGTATGCTCACAATTAATCGGTACAAGTAGAAAAAATTTTACGATAGCTGCTAAATTATTTAATGGTTTTAAATAAATGGGACTTCCGATTATGTAATTTTATTTTACAGAATTATTATTTTAAATATCCATAAAAATTATTTTAAATATCCATATAAATTATTTTTAAATATCCATATTTTTTTCATACTTTCATCTAATGAGAATTCAGAATTATTTTATAAAGCATATCATAATACAAGGTTTTAAAGATATTTTCATTAAATAACTATTATTTTAATTCCATTTGTACTGTCGAAATATTGCATGAATGCATGAAATGATATGGTTAAAAGCATCTCCTATTCTATCATAAAACATCAAATTTTTATTTATGATCACCACCAAATAATCTATTAAATTTTTTTTTTTGAATGAATCGTTTTAATTATTGTTATAATCGATAAAATATCAATTTCAACCACGTTTTTTTCAAAAATAATGATATTTAAGTCAATATAATATCGCATACGACTGGCAGATGGTCGCTTGGGCATATTTTTGATGGCAGGGCGATATATTTACGAACAAGATCCTCTGATGGCATAGGTATAATATTTTCCACCTGTAAAAAGAAATGAAAATAATTCCTGGCATAACTTTAAGACTCTGCACTTCTTTTGCTAAAATTATTTGTAATCACTTTTTAATTTTTTTGTCTATCTCAATTCCTGATAATTTCTTTATCAAAGTTTCCAAGATAAAAAAGCTTATTGATTTTAATAAACCAACCTCTGTGGGGAATCGTGGGAAAATTTATTGAACAATATATAGAGAAATGGTGAAGAAATCCATATAATAAAGCAAAATATGGCGATACCTGTATATTCTGACTTCCCCATATATAATCCAAACAGCCATCGAAACCACGCTCAATATTATTAATCTGATGTCGAGTATAATTTGTGGAAACGTCACCAGTTAGATTGAAAAAATATTTTTTTCTTTTCGAATCACCAGAATATTCTATTCTATCAACAGAAATATCATCTAGAAGAGACAAACCTTTTGATAGCCAACACTGATGTTCCTTCGACAAGTAACCTAAAGCATGAAAAAAACATCTTTTCAATTGAAGATTCCCAACTATATTGGAACCATATTTCCAAAAAAAGCAATTAAATCCAATTTAAAAAGTAATTCTTTTATATCTTAGTTTACTTATTGTGATTCCACTCAAATGATAACTTCCAGTTTTAAAATTTATAAAAAACAAAAGATTAATTTTATTAAAATAAAAAACAAAACTTTTTTATATGCAAAAAATAAATAAATAAAAAGCATTTACCATCACAAAGCAGTTCATAAACTCCTTCATTTTTAACTGCGTTAAAATCGCCGGCAAAAATATAATGAATTTTAGCTTCTGGTTCTTCTTTTCTGTATTTCCGCACAATCCGTAAAATGTAACGAGCACAAAGAAGTGCTTGAAGAACTTTTATATTAACATGGAGCGGATTGAAATAGAGATGCGTATTGGCCGTTAATAAAATTGTTTCTGAAGAACTGTCCCAAAGACATCTGAGTGCCATCAACTTAAGATTAGTATTATAAATATCTCAAAAGCATCACATGAAAATAAAATATAAAAGATGTATGAGATTCAAACGAAGTCCGATCTCGCAAAATGAAGCAAATATTTCCTATCGTAATTCGTAATTTATTAAATGCCTTCCAAAAGCTCTCTCTTATAAGTTTGACTTTGAAATTTTGACTTTTTACATATTGCTGAAATTATTCAATCATACTTATTTTTCAATTAAGCAAATTCAAATACCTGTATGATAGCTGGCTTTTGCATGACTCCGACCTTTATTTCTTCATTTTTATCGAGTAAATCTATTATATCTTGGTTTTCAGGATAATCTTCTGCATTTAACAAATTTGTAAGCCAAATATCATGTGAATCTATAAGGCTGAAAACAGTAGCTATTGATGGCATCAAAAATGAAAAAAATAATAACTGCAATCAAAATTATTAAAGAACGTTTTTGTCGAGCTGAGTTGTTGAAATTATAGAAAAAATGTCATAAAAATTAAAAATTCACCGTGCCCACGACTTAATAAAAATGATAATTTACCTAAAATTATTAGTTTTGTACAATGTCACCATTCCTTCAGTAACTAACAATCCTTTTCTTTTGAAGCAAAATTCATAACCATACTCTCTCATAAAAACTGGAAGATAACGAGAACGTAGCCGATCATCGACTTCTTGAAGAAAAATCAAATCTGCCTTATAACCTAAATTAAAAAAATAATTTTGCAATAATTTAACACTAAATAATTATTTAACGACGATTAAAATACCTAAAAATTTGAATCTGCAGAATTTTTACAGATTAAAAAAAAAAGATTATCAAACGAATTCTTAATGAATTTGAAATTAAAAACAAATTTAGCACAATAACTAATGTAACTAATGATAAATGTGAAATCACCTGGTAATTCTTTCAGAAGAAGAGGATAGCGGTAAGGAAAACTCTGGAACTGCACCGGACAATAAGAAAAAAATAGATCTTGCTGTGGCAAATTTAAATCTAAATATAAATCTGCTAAAACATTGTACGACATAACACGCAAACATCTGCAACAAGGAAAGATAAATTTTTGATGTCTGGGATATTACTGAATGCATATTAAACATTTCGCCATGAAATTTTAATAAGAAACCTAAACTCATGTTTGCAATAGCAGCAAAAAAATTTCAAAAAATGATCAATTCAACTAACCCGTTAGAAGCACTTTCTGCACAATGCTGAGCTTGCCTTTCTTCAAAAATTAAGGGTTCGGAAGGTCTATCCTTAATTAAATCCTTTGATAACACACAACGAATAATAGTTTTCGGTCCCAAATCGACAACCACACAAAGTTGCTTTCCAATATCCTCCGATTTTGGATAAAATATAGGACCGGCATATCGGAAATTCCACCTATCCAACGAATATGCGCAGCTCTCTGAAAGATTTTTTTCCACTTATTTGCAGTTTGTAACTTCAGATAACTAACTTTTGTTTGCATATTTATATCGAAAGATTACCTAAGCCTGTTGTCTTTTCTGGTAATGCAAGAGGTACACCTTCTTCACTAACATACCAAAAGAACCTTGGATTTACTGAAGTCGGAGATCCTAAAAAATTCTGAAGTTTTGAGGAAGATGTTGCGACAATAAATGATATTTTAGGAAAAATCTTCCATTTTTTAAAAGTAGATATAAATAATTGAGAAAGGAAACACCAAAATATTCAATTAAATATGCAAAATTTGAAAATTTACGAAATACAAACATTATACAAACTAAATTTTTCTGTCGAGATTTTCGAAAATTTTTTGTATTGTTGATACAAATTAAAACTTTAAATATTTGTATTTATTTTTAATATATATATATATATATATATATATTATATATATATATATAGGTGTTTCGTTTGAACTTGTTTGGTTTATTCACCGGGACGTAAATTATATTTTGCGATAACTGGACAATCAACTATTGGCAGCAAATCTATATCAATTTCATTGCAATCAGGTGGATTCCGAATAAATTCATAACAAACGCCACCAATTTCTATTGAAGGAATATTTTCATTGAAAAATACATCCTTATTCGTCAAGAACTATAAATTAATTTTATAAATATTGAAGCGGATAAAGAAGTTTTCGAAAATGCCAATAGCGCTTAATTCCAAAAATATGCACTTATTTGTGAAGCAAAAAAGCTTTACCAACTAAAAATCAAAGTCACCTGATTCAACGGATCTATTCCATGTAAATGGATTTGTATGGGAATATCCTCCAATGAATGCTGATCATCCACTGCAGATAAAATCTTCTTATGTATCCTTGGTACAGTTCTGGCGAAGAGCTGAAGTAGTGGACGACGTAAACCAATCAGTACCGGATGATCCATACCATTATATATAAATTCGAAAAGTATGGAAACATCGTGTGGATCGGAACTTCTGGAAAATATCAAATCGGATGGCTGCTGAGACTCATTGCATCTCCAATCAGTGAAATTGAAAGAATCATCTATATTTCCAATAATCAAGCGAATTAAAAATGGTTAATATTTTCTATAAAAATAAAAATAATATAAAAATTGAAGCAAATTCGATAAAATAATAGAAAAAATCGTTTACAGAATTAATTTGAGTTATAAAAATGATGAAAAATTAGAAAAACAAATGTGATAAATAAATAATAAATAAATAAATGTTTAAAAAATCTTGAAGGAATAATAATACTTTTTATCATCAAAAAGTACTGAAGAATTCGATTTATCAAGCCATATCATTAAACCATTCTTTGGTAATTTCATTGTTTTCCTTAACTGCTTATTTTGAATAACTTTATCAATCTTTTTAATGTGATTCGTACTAAAATATGCATTAAAAAAAATAATTTTTGAAAGCTGAAAAATGGAAAAAAATTAAAATTAAAAATACCAATTAAATAAATAAAGTAAAATTAAGAGAAAATTAAATTAATTTAGAGAAAATTACAAAAGTTAACCCAATTAATTCATTAATTCAATATGGCCAACTTTAACTTTTAATATTTCATCGTAATTTTATAGAAAAGCTTTGCTGCCTAGCAAATTTGATATATTATATTACATATGTATTATTATATTATTTATATTTTACAAAGTACTTGTTTAAAACAAAAATAAAATATTAATCCTAAAAATTATTATTACTCTATCCACTAACTTCCAATAAAAATAAATTTTAATTTCTCGATTCTATCAAAAATTCTATTTTACCATTATCTGCTATAGCGCCATAACTTTTCTTTTCTTTTATCTTCCTTTTTTATAAGAAAAAAATTAAAGTAAAAGGAAATAAGCATAAAGGAGATAAGGAAAGGAAAAAATGAAAGGACATTTGCTTTGAAGAGGATTTAAAAAATAAAGCTGAAGATGGAATGGCTTCTCCACTTTTCGACGTGGCACAATTATTGTTCGCAGCGATTTCGCTGCTGCGAACCAATAATTTAGAAGAAAGGTGCAAAACACAAAAAAAAAAACCCTTTTTCTATCGTTGAACATTCCATTACTTGTTTGTTAACCACAAACGGTGGAATTGAATTTATAAAATTGCAAATTTTTAATTTTTTTGGAAACCGTTTAAGACAACTGATAACCATTTAATTGTAAATCGTTAACAATCGTTACATAGCACGGAAAAACAGTGAAAATATTTTTCTGAAATTTTCTTTAAAAAAGTCGAAAAAAAGGAAATAAAACATTTTCCATATATTTCAAGCAAAACAATACTTTTTATGAAAACGTGTGCTTGAAATATAAAAAATGATTTCTGGTCAGATCAAATAACTGACAGGAGTCAATATTCCAATTAAATAAAGTAGAATAAGTGATCAGCGCCGATCTTAATTAGGTGGTCATCAACTTCACAGCTTGTGTAATACGCCAGTGGGACATTGGGAGAGAAGACGACACGGGGCCACCAGCATTGGCCAATTTCCAGTGACTCTTGGCCTCAGCACTGGGGTCGCACTCCACTCGGTTACCTTCCCCCAATAATTTTAAAAACGCCCGGCGATGAGCCAATTTACAACCGCGAAAGCGCGGCCCATTTGGAAAATTACGGCCCTTGGTTCTTTTGAATTTTTCATCAAAATAAAAAATTAAAAATTTAATTAATTTAATTAAAGGAAACGGACGTATTGAATATTATGAAGTTTTCTGATAAAACAAATTATAAGTCTTCTGCAAGATATTCGAATTGTATCAAACGATTCTCGTTTAATAATCACTTTAAGTGATTATGAATCCTGCGTGCAATTAAACTGGCCGACACCGCTGGTACCTTTCGATTCACTCCTGGCGCAGCGCTGATAATTAATAATATGGTGGGGAGGACGGGTATAAACGAGGATGGACACTGTGCATGAAACCAAGAGCACCGTCGGAGGGCTTCTTTAGTAATTTTATTAGCGGAAAACAGAATAGAACGAAGACCGACTGCGAAGACGGAGAGATAACTCTGTCGTTGACTTTATGCTAATTCAGCACGATCAAAACGCAACTGAGCTTGAAATGTTTATGCTGGATTAGAAAGCTTCTTTGCTAAAATTTGTGCTAGTACGATTCCTTTACTTGGTGATCCTTTTCTCAAATTTAAGGTTTCTCTCCTTTTCTCGATTTGGCATCCTACGAGAGAGCAAAAAAATTTTAGATTGCATTCGATTGCAGATTCCTCCTTTAATTCTTAATTTATAATTATGCCTGCAAGGAAGAATTCAGTTGACCCGAATCTGCACTGAAGCGGTTGTATGCGAAGGCACACGGCACATCTGAATTTTTAAGATCTTCAAAGCGAATTTATTTGTGTTTTTATCATTATCGCTGTTTCAAATGATGGCGGTAATTTTTTTTTTCAACAAGACAAATACTACTTTCTTCAACAGTAGACAGTTGCACAAAGTTACCAAAGTAACGCGGACCACAGAGGGTCAGTAGGAATGCAAGTTTCGCGAATAACTGGCCGAGTTGGAATGAACCCACACTCGTTTTCCTCTTCCTTTTCGTGCTTTTTAATTTAAATTATTCAAGTGGTGCTAAATAAAAATAGGTGTCCGCGAAATATTTCCCATTTTCAAACATATGCTCGCTTTTTAATTCAGCTTAATTTCTACTGATCAAATCATATTTTCATGGTGTTCAAAAAGAAATTCGATTAAAGAACTAAAAATCTCGTGAAACGTTGCAGACAAAATTATCTTCCGATTGCCAACACAATTCCGAGGACATAAAACAAATTCCAATTCCAAACTTCGTCGTCACACGTTTTCACGTCACACAACCGTGCACAGAAACGCCATCCACACAGCTTTTGATGTTGTTGTTGCGCGATTTCTCGCATATAATAAAGTTGCCTGCTTAAAGCGCAGTGCATTGTTCGCATGCTCGGAACGCAACATTATTCTTATATTGCGCCATAAAAATGTTTTTTCCCAAGTATTGCATATTCAGCGTCAAACTGCCGGCGCATTTCCAATAGAAATTTCATATTACTGTAATTTTTTTCGATGGATTTAGCATAATTTCCCGTGTTCCATATGTCGCTAATTGCCATGCATTAAGGGGTTTCTTCGTCATTCATTCCATCCTTGCAAAATTTGTAATAACGAACTTAGACGCTCAGCCGAATTCAACTCCTTCAGTTGAGCCGTAAATTTATTTCCGCAACTCAAATACAAACTGACTTTTAATAGGTTCATCGATTTCATCTCTGTGGCGATGGATAGTTATTAATAAGTGGAATTTCCTAAAAGTCGCTTTGCATCCATTACAGCAGCCACCCCGGGTAGTAAGCTTTTATTGGCTGTGTGAAGATACGCTTTTTTCGCGATTAAAGATGGCATAAATTCTAATAAATTCCAATCCTCTTTCTTAAAAGTATAAAAATTGATTTAAATCCCGTTTTAGGAATCCACTCTAGATCGGCAAGCTTGGTCGATCAATGAACGAACACTCTATTGGGCTGAGAATGAAGATGACAATGATCCCAGGCTCAAACTGTGCTCGACGCTCGACACTCACATGAATCCGCACTTTTTCGTAAACGAGTCCAAAATTTTTTTAATTTTTTAAAAAACTTAATTTATTTAACTTGCAGCGATTATTTGATTTGTCCATCGACCTTCTATCCATCCCCAGAGTTCCCGCAGATCCCTAATCGGTCATTCGAGTTCAAATTTGGAACTTAGTGATAATTAGGTTCTGGTATTAGTCGATCTTTAAGTGCAATTTTCGGATCCAAAGGAAGCCTTAAATTGTATCGGCCTGTGTCCATGTTCGATATACGTTGATTAGAGAAAAAATTTTTAAAGAAAATACAAAGAACTACGAAAAGAAGAAAGACATTAGCTAATTTAAAATTATTTTATGCGAGTTTTTGTGGGCATTAGTGAGCCTAGATGATCGTGCATGAGAGTAAGTACAAAGGGACTTTGCTTTCACGAATATTGAGATTTTTAAGGAGAATTAGTTGTATTAAAAGCCCACAGCAAGGATTCAGCACACAATATGTTGTAATAAAAGCGTGGCGAGATTGGTGTAACATAAAGGCCTGATGGAGTTAGGACAGTTTAAGGAAGAATTAGGTTTAAGGAGAAGCTGTTTTAAAAAAAAACTCGGTACTATACATTACATTTATACATTACATTTAATGAAGTTTTTCTTTTTGTGAATTCTTCCAGCTTCCAAATTATTAAAATATTAAAATTCAAGAGTTTTACAAACATCTGTGTCATCAAGATAAGAGATCGTATCTATGAAATTCTAAATCGGTGAAAGGCTATCTATCATCTGTCAATTGCGGAAAAATATTTTTTTATATTCTCGCATTTTTTATGTCAAACAGAATTCGACTGAAAACGGAAGCGGTATAGTCCACGATTGTCCCGAGAATTTTCTTCTATTTCAACTTGGGGGTATGCTTTGATAAATCCAAGTGAGAAAATGTTTCCTTGGCTCAGTGTTGAAAAATTTCGCCAACGTTTGCTAACGGATGCTTATTTGTTTTTTAAATTTTTATCTGGAATCTCTTATTATTGTTGCAGTCTGCTTAATCTACGACGGAATTTCGCCTTCGAAATTCACTTTCTTTTTTTTCCGACCTTTTTTTGTGCACTGATTTCGCTCTCTTAAATTTCACTTTATAATCTGGGCAAATATAAGTTAGTTTTAGATTTTACATTAAATGCTGCACATCATATCCTTTATTATAAAGATAGCAAATTCACCAGAACAGACCAGAATAATTGTAATATCACGTACAAACTCTCTATAATTGGCGATAAGTATTCACGTACATAACTGATCGATGTATGAATGGTCATCATATATTGATAAGACGGGGATATAAAGTGCATACGGAATCTATTTTATGGAGATATATAGAAAATCGATTTAAAATAGATAGATATGATGGCAAAACAATAAAAAAAATCTATCAATAGATCAGTTGCAGTAGCTGAAAGATCAGCATGTATATGAGTTAGAATGTTGAGGGGATCTTAGGTTCCGCAAAAGTCTTTATGGAAGTAAAGTGAGACTTGGCATGCTTGAAGGATGAAAGATTGGATTACACAGCATACGGGTGCGTATTACTAGTAGGATTTTTTGAGATAAAAAGGATTCTAGAGTGATTTAACTGCTAAGTTGGTTGGAAGCAAAGAGAAACAGACATTGAGAAAGATTTTGATAGAATTTGGCAGATTTTGGAAGAATTAATTGAGTTTTTTAAAACGTGTCTACACCAACATACGAACACTCGCACTTATAGCAAATTACGTTGTTTAAGACTATCCGCTGCTTTTGTAATTACTATCATTCTTTTGCATGAATTTCCTTCTTTTTTATTTCATTTTAACTTCTAAATGTTCATGCACTTGGATATAACCTTTCCATTCATTCATCAGTTCCAATGAATTTTTGATGTATTTTTGCCATTCATTGCTTCCTTCATTTATTTGGCCTAAATCTACTTAGCTTCGCTTGGTCTTACCGAAACAACTTAGATCTAATTACTGAACTTTGCCCAAAATTATATCATCATACTCGAAGGAACACTTCACCTTCAACCATACTTTTGTATAAAAAGGAAATTATTTATTCTTTAGAGATGAATTGGGATGAATAAGCAAGCAGCAAGTTCTTTTTTCCGAAAAATTCCGAAAATGATTATGGAAATGAAGGAAATTATTCACTGCCAATGATCGGATTAATTTAAATAATATTAGAAAGAATGGCTAGAAAAATTTTTGCGATTTTATTTTTATTAATTTCATTTCATGTAAATAAAAATTCTAGAAAAAGAAAAAATAACGCATAATAATGATGAAAAAATAAAAAAGTATGCTTCAGCGTCAGCAAATAAAATACTCGATCTTCGCTTTGTTTTATTTACTTTAACTTCCTTTACTTATTTACTTTGAGTTCATTTACAGTAAAGATTATTCTTAATAATCCATCAGTTATTTCCAAAAACAGGGATAAGTCTCTCGAAGGAAATTTATTTTAGAAAGCTATAAATCAAAGTTTTTCGTTCTCTTAGCACTGAGGTGAACTTAATGAGAATAAGAAAAAAAAGTAGTTAAGTTGAAATCGTCCAAAAAAAGAATTTTAAAAATGAATTGAAAAAAAAGAAAATTGGAATATTGTTTACTTATAGAAATCATTTTTAGCACTTAGCATATAGATTCATAACCTTAATTATCAGTAAATTCAATCTCAAGCTTCGTTGTCTTTTTGGGGAAACATTTTAGGCTATTGTGCCGTTAAATTATCAGTTTTTAACTTTTCACATGTAAAGGAATTTCACATTTATCTCCTGTGAAACCAATATTGCATAAACATTTGAAATCTGCAGAAGTTCCTGAACATATTCCTTTTTGGTTGCAGTCGCGATCAGAATCACATAAAGCTGAAAATCTCTTTTAGTTTCATTAATCTGCCTCACGAGTGGAGTGGATTTCATAGATAACTCACATATCAAATAAAATAATATATTTATAAATTTATATTGTCAGTGACTGATTTTCTCAAACCGCGTATTTTTTAAAATTGAAAATTTTTTAAATCTCAAATTGTACACAGGAAAATGGTTCTCGTAAGATTTAAAATGAGATGGTACTTACTGGTTTCACATTTGGTTCCCGTGTAACCAAGGCGACAAACACAAAAATATGTTTGTTTATTACCGATACATGTGCCTTGATTATTACAATCTGATGAATCACACATCTAAAATAATTCTGAAGATATTTCGATATTACGACACTTCAATATCAACATTGCATATATTAACACTGAACATCGAAATCTTTTTGTTGTTAGAAGAAAGTCCGTTTACAGCCAGTCCAAAAACTAGAAAGGAGGATGACGATATGGTATGCTGAGAAGGCTTTGTGAAAATCTTCTAGAAAACTTAAATCTAAAATCTAAAGAGGGCTGGTTGATATGTTGTTGAGAAGTCCTATTTTCCGTATAAACAGAAAAAACTACCCAAACAACCTAAAGCCAGAATGGTCTACTCCTGAGAAATCTTACTAGACTGGGAAATCTGTAGGTAATACGATCTTTTGATTTTTTGCGTATTAACCATTCGTTTGAGAGATATAGCATTATTTTTATTTATTTTATCATTTGTCATTTTCAGTATTCTGTCAGCCACTTATCATCTCGACTGAATCGGAAATTCACCAAATTTCTTCAAGAAATTTCACAAATTATACAATTTTTTTTATAAAATTATAATATTCATCTAAATGAATGAAAAAAATTGCGATATTACACAAAATGAAAAAGTAGATAACCTCTAATTCTTTGTGAATCGTTTGATTGAAATCATTAAACGTTGTTGTTACCTGTAAATAGTTCCTTAAATGATTGGATCAATATCCAAAGTTCGCACGAGTAGTTTGAAAAGAAATATGTATTAACGTGAAAGAGAATATTGCTTCGACCAAGGTCAAATAAATTATTATGGACTCAGTTCTTTCGACTAAAGTGAGCTTCTTGTTGCACACGCTTTTCGAGATCCATTTGTTTTGCCAGCTCCAAATAGCGCTATGGCGAAGACATTTGACATTAGTCGCAGATGTAACCAAACCAGGGATAGTAATTTTTAAAGTGCATAGACTCAAAATACTCAATTTTTCCATGTGAAAACACAATTTCAACAACCTTGTTTAGGCCTTCTTTTATTGCGTTATTTGCAAGTTGGAATTTACTCTTCACATCGCCATAGAGATCCTGCTGGCAAATTAATTAGCAAATTAATTATTCAACTTAGGACTTTTGAAAAATTTGAAAACTTTTGTCTCAGAAATAACTTATAAATAATTTGCCAATGAACATCCAAATAAATAGTTTACAAATAAAACAAATAAATAGAAGAAAAAGAGATGGCAATATTTAAAAACGGTTTCATAAATTTGGAAGATTTATAGAATTATCAATACGAAGAGCGAACATTATATTCCTTATTTAATGAATCGCGAGTTTGTTGTAAATTATTCTTTAGATTATTGTAGAAATCCTGAAAATGAAAGCTAATTTAAAGAGAATATTGAGAAAATTTTTTTCAATTAATTAACTACAACCATTGTTTGTACTAATACCTCGAAAATGCCTTAAAAATTACAAAAATTTTATATTTTTGGAATTGCTGAATGTTATACTATGGAGATAAGCCCCAATCATTTCTGTGAACTATGGTGATAATATTATTTTACTTTTATATTATTATAATATTATTTCTTTTGGAACAGCGGGATTTTCGTGAATATGTGAATTGTGCTGGTGATTTGTTTTATATGGTTGCTGCTTGGATCACAGCCTCAAGGGTTAGGGTTAGGGCATATCCTTCCAGAGAGGTAAGCACTGTCGTTGAAAACACCTGTACTCCTACCGCCTAGTGGCACATTAGCAAAAATTTCTCATTATACTAACAGCCAATCAATGGAGCAAAACTAACCAGAAGTAGGAGGTGCTAGCCACTTTCTAATTTACAAATGGTACCCTATTATTTTAATGTTAAACGAAATTAAGGCGATATTTTTGAACTTCATTTAGCATAGGCTTTCAAGGAAAGGAATGTTAAAAAGTTCGGTTACCGTGAATTTTATAAATCCCGTAATTCATCAAAAATATTATATATATTTATATTATTAAAAAAGCATTTAAGACAATTTACCTGTGCCGCAATTTGTTGTTGGAAAGAAGAAATCAGTTCAATAAAAAAAATAGCTACAGTAACACTGTTGAATAACATTAGTTAACTAAATTATTATTTTTATCAATATTATCTTATTACAACATTCATCATTATTGGAAAAAAAAACTCTTATTGTCACAGCAAAATTATTTTTTAAACGCTTTTTGAATACCTTTTCTTAACCAATATATAGACTGTGCAACATAGATAAGGTAACGGTGAGGGAGCTTAATCTTCTTTTCTATACCTCGACTGATAAGCTGGTGAAAGGGCCTCAAAAATAATCAATAGAGTCAGCCAAACCAGAAATGGGAAATGGTGATAGAAGAAAAAGAAAATGAACAAAAATAGGCTAAAAATGAAATAGAAGATCAAATATTTTCATATGTTTTTAGGTGAACTAGGTGAATTATTATCGCAAATAATTCTCGCAAAGTGCCAGTGGATGCTTTGAAAATAATTGAATTGGCCATTAAAAATAATTGCAGTTCTCGATTACTGGTTCTAAACAATTAATATGCACTATAATTGGATTCACAAATTCTATTGTATGTAAAAATTAATGGTGAATTTCCAGTTCCATTTAATTTCTAAAATAATCTTAAAATAACCCTAGAAATGTGATAAAAAATTTTAAAAAAGAGTTAAAAATTTCTCCAAAATTCTTCAAGCTTACCTAAATTATCGATTTATAAAATTATAGGCATATCAAGTAATATGTGAAATGCTAAACTGGAAGAAACGCACTGCCAATAAGAAAAAAATCTTATTATGCATTTAGGGGAGAAGATAACCGAGCGGTTTGGTTGTTGCCTCGAGATCATGGACTTAGTTCTCATCCTTGGCGCGAGTGCGAGGTGAAATTTAGGTGATCCCGAGGGACACCCTCTAGTAGCAGTACCGTGGAGCCCAAATTAGAAATGGTCAGTGCTATTAGCAGACGAATTTTCAATTATAACATGAAGAAAAAATTTTGCTTTCCACCTTCTTTTTATTTTCAAATTTTTTGTTTAAATTTTTTATTTAATTTTATCAAATCTTTTCTACAAATCAGCGACATTACTGCGATTTTTTCGACTTTTCAACTGAAATAAATAAAATGTTTCACATCGTTGTTGTAGTTGATTTCGACCAACAACGGTTTATTTCACTATTTTTGCCATAAAACTACAAATAAAACTCAACGAATAAGTAAATCAACGAATAATCTAATAAATATTAACTAATAAAACAAAAAGAAAAAAATTATAAAAAACTTAATGATGCGGAATATTCCAAATTTGTTACACATCGATGGCGCAAGAACTCTGTATGATAAGCGCGAAAATGACAATAATTTAATGAGAAATTTATGCGAAAGAGATATTCTCGAAGAGGCGAATGCTTTTGGAACTCACTTGGAGAAGTTTATTCAATCTTAAAAGGAGAGAGATGGCGGCCTAATTTACAGAAACAAGTAATAACATATGAAATTTAGCAGAAAAATGATTATTTCGACATCTGTGTACCGAAGAAATGGTTATTTGGAAATCTCTGGAAATCGATGATAATAGCTGATAGCTGAAGACTTCGACGATGATCGCAAAACTCGAAACCTTCTTGAGAAAACTTTTACTAAATTACTTTTACTACGCGACGACTGTGTTCACCAGAATTGCACTGTTTAAAGTGAATGCTAAAAAAACGATTAAATAAGTAATTAAATTGCTCAAATGATTTCTGAAACGAAAATTTTTAATATTCTTAGTTAAAATAACTAAAGCGACCAGTTAGTGCATTAATCCATTAAGTTTTAGGCATTTTTTGCGTTATGCGCACTACCACACTTGCAGTATGAGTTTTATAGAGAAGCGTTGCGCAATCGCTATTAATTAATTAGTTATTGTAAAAGTCGCTGATGTTTTCTAATTTAAGTACCAAATTTTATTCAAATTTCTATCTTTGAACTGATTCAGTATCATTTCAATAAAGTAGTATTCAAGTGTGGGAGTAGCGCCATTTATTAGCGCAATATTTTAATGCGCAACTAGCAAGCAGGAACGACCGTAAGTCCAATTGGGTAAAATAAAACCGCGAGCTAAGCGAATGCATTCACGGAGATTAGTTTGGCGTAGCGACAGCATTTTATTATGTTATTTCGCGCTATACCTGTTTTTCTGCATTACTGAAGGTTAATTTCAGTCCACAGCATGATTTTGTCCTAAATATAATTCCTAAATATAAATATATAGAATTTTTTTCGTTTATTTTTTAAATAAATTTTCATAATAAAACTTCTGTTATTGGTGACTTCTTGCAAAACCTCACCACTCGGAGCAAAATATTCAATTTAGGAAAGAGCGCAATGTTCCAACTTATCTACATCCACGATTCGCACTCCGAATTCTCACCCATTAAACGAAACTGTTGAGTATGAAAAACCAGACGCATAGACACAATGGGCCAAACGCCATAGGAATGTGTAATCACAACAATTATTGTGGCATATTATAAACGAATAAATCTATCAATAAATCTTTCCATTGAAAAACACCATGAAATATTCACAGTAGAACATTAAAAATAAGAATAAATGATATAAATAACGAATGTAAACAAATCGTTCTTTGTAGATAAAAAGTATATTTTAAAAAAATAGAAAGACTAATGTTTGAAAGGGAAAACTATTATGAGTCGACTAGATTAAAGCCAGGTATTTTCTAGATTTCACCAGTAAATTTGCCAGCTGATAAATTAATAATGAAAAAGAGCCACAAAACATTCATAAAAAATACGTCAGGACCGAACCCCGCAATATTAATTTGTTCCCCGACCATAGTAATCAAAAATATATGTCCCAGCGTATTTCCCTAAGACCTTTTTTTGAAAACTCCAAAAGTATGAATATTCCAACTTTTTCATCTTTGAAAATTTTTGCGTAATCATTCATGAAAAAATTAGTTAAGAAAATATATCAATGGAGGAATTCAGGAAATACAGCAATTATATGACTATTTAGCTGATTAATTTTCAAGAAAGAATGAATCAAATATTTTCAATAATAAAAAGCATTGCAAAAAAAACATGTATTAAAAACATTTACCAGAAAACAATATATTAGAGGGACAGAAATAATAAATAACATAAACAAAAAAAATTGCAAAAAGTATATACGACATTACAAGAACCCGACGTTAAAAATAGGTATTATGAATTTTGCAGTATTTCATCTGCTTCGTTAGGCAAATATTTTCCTTTTCAGTCTAAAGCAAAGACTCGAACTATGAGCTTGATTATGAAGATATAAAAAAAATGAATTTTTCTTTAAAAAAATTTAAATATATTCCCGATGAAATTTCTAAAGAAACCCGCATTCAAAGATAAGCATTTGGAAAATGATTTTAGCATTCAAATCGAGAACAAATCGAAAAAGATATATAAATCCTAACTTCTACAATTGTTCATCACCAGATGATGGTAATATCTCACTTGGAGGAGTTACTTCACCACTTGATAACCGTTCATTGCTTTCCACATGTTCATATCTCGACAACTGTTCCTGTTCGATATTTGATGATGAGAGATGAAAATTATGTTTAATCCATTTTGCAAATTTGTTGACGTTAGAAATTCTCTCTTTTTGGCTTCCATGTTGCAAAATTTTATTTTTTCGATTTTTTTCATTCATAATGAACTGAAAAACAAGAAAAATAATGGGACCAAGAATATATTAGAACATAGTAAAACTGAAAAATGGACGAAAAATAATTTAGAAATAATTTCAAGATAACAGGTTAATATATTGTAAGCAATTCAATGAATTCAAAGAAATAACTTGTTTGATTGAATCTATATCGCTGAATGTATGTCGCCTCCAGTGTTCATCATGATTTCGCGTATTCATGAGTAATTTTCCACTGTAGTCTGCATTTAATGAAATATCACTCAAATTGGACAACTTTTCTTCATTAAGAGCCCCCATTCGAAAATAAATCTGCAAAAAATTTAAATTAACATTTGCACTAACTTTTATTTTTCCAGTAAAAAAATATGGTTAAAAATACCTTTGGTTGGCTCTTGGACCTTTTCCTAGGCTTGAAAGAAATAAAATGCGAAGGATAAAGTGCGAAATCGGACATATCATAGTCTATATCCACAACATCCGCTCCCTTTTTCAATTTTATATGAGAATCAGTTTTACCGGTAACTACCTAAAATATAACTCAATAAAGTATTAAATACTAATGAATGCAAGGCAAAAAAGATTTAAATTCTAAACACAAGTTTAAACCATCACCAGTTTTATTACTTCGAAAACTATTCTTTTATAAATCCGAAATAACCCAAAGAATAATTTCTAAAGCAAGCGATAAGGATGTAATAAAATCGTAAAAAATCGTAATATAATTCAAATTTATTCGTTCACCAGTCGAGTGTGTTCAAATACCAGTTTACCTTTTTTTTTTCATCCTAACCCGATTTTGATTTAAAGATCTTTTCCTAAATACTGTAAATAAGCAAAACAGCAAAAAATTAAAAATAAAACCTTCGCTGAGTCCAAATCATTTTCAGGTTGATAAGGTGAGGAGCTTGCATTTCGCGCATAAGGCGATACATCTGATGAAGCATAATCACTACTCGCAGCCAAATGATCAGCACAAGATACAGTCATAGGCATTGTTAAGGGAGCTGACGATGTTGTACTATAATCTGATGTTAATGATAATGCATCCGTTGATGAGAAATCATCCACATTTTTGCCCATTAATAATTTCTGAAAAGGAAAATAATATTTTATTATTAAAAATAACAGGAAGATGACAGGAATTAACAGGAATTATAACAGGAATAACAGGAATTAAAAATTAACGATAAAGAAGAACAAAAGTACTAATTAGAAGCACAAAATATATATTAGCTAGAGATAAATAATCATTAAAATGCTTTCCATTTAACAAATAATAAGCAAAAAATGCAGTAAAATGATTATACTCAAATTAAATGATTTACTGCAAATCTGCATTATATATGAAAAATATTAACATTTATTCTAAGTAGTTCAGCAAGAATAAAGTTATGAATAAATTAAAAAGGTAGTTTTTATTTTATAACTTTATTTATTCGATTTATAAATAATGCCACATTTACTTCATCATTAGCGCTTCGCATCGGTATATGCTTTGGCTTTGAAACTCCTGCTTCACGACGTTCAACTGCTGTTGTCGCCCAACCCTGTAACTGTTGTAGCCGTCGTATTTTTTCGCGCGTTTCAGCGCTAAGGACATCGAGTGTTGGTGATGTAGCAAGATTTAAATGGCGAGTATGACTAACGAGATCATCCAAATCTGCATGATGCAAATTTGACTCAGCAGTTATTGGATCAGCATCTGTGCCAGCTATAAATATTCGTCGTGCTGAACTTATTTCCTAAAAAAGAAATATTCCAATTATATTCCATAATGAGTTCATAAATTTATAATTTTAAAGTAAATAATATTTATCTTTTTAAATAAAGATCAATATGAAGTAATATATATAAATTATAAATTATTCGTTATATAGAATATAACTACCAACATCTGAGAACCAATTCTTCCATATTTTGCGAAAAAAGAAATCCTTTAAAAAGGAGAAAAGTTAATAACTTTTGAAAGTGTTCATTTTTTCATTACCATTTCTCAGATTAGACTGCAAAATAAAGAATACTAGTGATGAAATTTTGATTATTCTAACCTGCTGTCTTTTTCGACGGATTTCTTCAGCATCACTTAGTTTTTCTCGAGTACTGTCGGTTTGTACTTCTGCATTATTGGCCACAGAATCCAAGCATGAATCTAGTGATGGTTCGTCAACAGATAATGCATTAGAAGTGGCTATACTGCTAGCTGTGTATAACTGTATCCTAGACGCTATTTCAGCATCAATATTACGCTCCTTCAAAACAAATTACGTATTAAAATTTATTCTCGCAAAATATTTGATGGAAATATGTAGCATATAAAATAGAACGGCAAAATGATTACAAATCTTAGAAAATGATTTCGAAATTCTGTGCTTCGAAAAAAAAAATTATTTATTAAAATTATTTTTATTAAAATTATTTATTAAAATTTATTATTTATTAAAAAAAATTATTTATTATTAAAATATTACATTCCCTATATACATTTAAGAGTAATTTAAGAAAAAAACTGATCATCATTAATATGAATGAATTTCATAATATAATCAGTAATAAATTATAAAAGCATGAAATAAGATTAAAAATATAAGGAACAAAAATAAAACAAAACTTATTTTTTAAAGAATTTTAAGGATATTTCTCATGGCTTCAGGAATGATTTTCAATAAATATTACAATTCTAAAATATCATCATTGTCTTAAAATTTTTTATTTTATTTTGGACAAAAGGAATAAAAAAACACTGAAACAGGCAAGAAAGACAAAGAATTTAGCATAAAAAACCTTTGTAAAAAAAAGAAAATTACTTGAAATTCGCCAGAAAACGTGTGCTCAACATTACTTGTCGTACTCCCAGGAGTGCTAGTGGTACTACTAAAATTAGATATTGTTGAAACATGTGTTGCATGAGCTGAATGATCACGCTTTCGAGATTTATCTCTTTTGGAATTTCGTCGAACATTCAAGATATATTTTATCTGAAGTATTTTATATTCTTATATTTTTTAACCACTTTTGTTCTTATATTTTTTAACCACTTTTGATATTACTGTAACATGTGCCAAAAAAAACAAAAAAAGCATATGAAAAGAAAATATACTGATATACTATATATTATACTAAAATATAGTGATTTAGCAAAAACTATGGGTTACTCTAAAATTAGCGAAATTCTATCAATTGGAGCGAAAATATAAATTTCAAGTGAAAATATAGATTAAAATTAAATTCAAAGGCAACCTTTCCACTACGCTGTGCATCCATCATGGCAAATGCTTCTGCTTCATTGGCTTTTCTAATTAAATTATGCATATCATTGAAAGAATTTGTCATAACAGTGCCTTGAGAAGAATCTGATTCAAAACCAGCAGTTAAATTACCACTGTGCCCATATGATGAAATATCACACACCGATGGCACCATTTCTGGTACTTCATCATCCCCAGTATCTATTTCGCTGAATATCCAGTCATACTGCAACAATGGAAATGCAACCAAAATCATAAGAAATCATAAGATAATGACGAAAAATAGTATGAATAGAAACAGAAATTTTAAATTAATTTCTCAAGAAACCCTCATCAAGAAAAACAAAAATTCATGGATTCATGAATTTCGAGTTGTATCATTAAAAGATAAACGACTTTTCTATTTTAATCTTATCATCCACACTTATCTGGTAATGAAACAAAAGAAATAGAATGCAATATAAATTCTAATTCTTTATAGCTTCAAAAGAAAAAATAATTTTAAAATAATTGGAAGAAATAGAGCGAAATGAATCATTAAAATAAAAGCAAACATAAGTTATAAAAGATTCAATAATTTTGCATTGATCCGACATATGTGTAACCATAGTCGCCATATTATCATCACTAGGTCGAACAATCGACGGCCCGAACATTAGAGCCAAATTTCTTGTCTCCATCTTAAATAACTGTAATTAATTCGAGAATAAAGATGAAAAATAAATGTGGATAAAACCTGCTGTGGATAAAATTGAAAATTTATAGGGAAAGAATTCTAAATGTCTTTCTTTTAAAAAAATCGTTAATAGATCTTTAATTAAATTCCATTAATTTCACTGGGATAAAATATCTCATTAAATCAACAAAGTTCTTTTTACAGAAAAAAAAACCTTATTAACGGCACTATGTTGCACTACAAGTTGCAAATGGCCCATCAAATATTTCAAGGTGGCAAAATGAGCTGATGGTAACTTTCGAACCTGAAATATTGAAATATTAGAACAGTGATGATTCAGAAATGATAAGTTGATAAGATACTTTTAACTTATTTTCTTTGTTGGGACTTGTAAAAAAAAGATCATTCACATTATTAAAAAATCGAAAAAGAGAACCAGATTTCGAAGCTTTCGTAATCGCTGCGGATGTGAAGAAATACGATTTGCATCGATAAAAATTGGATAAAGCTTATCGGTTAGTAAGGGTTCTGGAAGTTTTCGTAAAAACATCTTCAACAAACTACTTACAACATTTACATCCTTCCATCGTGAATCCGAAAAATCAATCTAAAAAATTTATAATTGAATCCAAGCGATCTTTACTTTATATATAATATAAATAATTTTTTATCCGATAAAAATTTTGCCAAAATATTTTGGAAATTGAAAATTTTGAAAATTTGCAAAAAAATTATTCAAAATTTACATTATTTAAAACTATTTAAAATAATTATTTAAATCAAAATCAAAATCTTCCTTATTTCTTCTATCAAATAAGTAAATTTGAATAACAGAATAAATTTTATCATGAAAATAAAAGTTAAAATGTATATATTTTAAATTTATATATATTTTAAATTTATTCTATTTTACAGCTATAAAAGCTATAACTTACAATGCTATTATATTGCTACAACTTATTATTTGGGTATTTTCATGTACTATTCCTTTGTTAATGGTTATAAAAATCCTTAAACAAGACAAATAAACTGTTAAAGGTGAAAAAACCAGTGACTAACATTGTCAATCCCATGATTCAAAGTTTCTTTTAAAGCGTTAACTGCAGCTGTATTTCCAGGAATTCGATAGATACCAACAGTTTCCATACCATATGCTTCGACTACTTTCACACATAACTGAATAAACAGTGGAACCAACTGAAAATATTTAATGAAAGGAAGCGAAAATAGATCTTCTGATCGAAATTATGAAATCATTTCATTGTTTTTAAAATCATGAAAAAAACCTGGTAATACATTTAATAATATACATGTAAAAAACATTTTTAAATGAACAGTATTATAACATAACATAAATACGAACATCTCCGTCGCCACTCGTACGACAATCAGCAATTTTTTGTCCAAGTGCAGAAGTTGATGGCACAGACTTATCAGATGATCGCCCATGTGTGAACTCTGTTTTCACTGAACTCTGTTTTAAGGCTTTCGTTTTCTTCCATTTTCTGGTTGATTTCGGCGTATTAATGTTGTAAAAACTTTGTTCACCTAAATAATTGAATTGAATTTAATAAAAATAATAATTTAACAAAAAAATTAAAGATAAAATATGCAAAAATTGTTTAAAAAAATACCAATTTATAATAGAAATATTCATTTTGATATTTATTCATTTAAGTTCAATTCAGTTAGTTATTTTAGCATATTTTGAGAGATAAATCAGAATTTTCGAGTAAAATCAATACAAAAAGAAAACAAAAAAAAGGAAGAACGAAAGAAAGCGAAAATTAATGAAAATATGCGGAAAAATGAAAAAGTCACTTAGAGAGTTACTCGTATTTGGCTGTTCAACAGCAGCCGACGGAGCTGAACTGGTCGATGGCGAATTATTATTTCCAGAAGGCATATCAAAACGTTTCGCTGCATTTGGCGAATCCAAGTGAACCGCCTTCGCCTTATACCTGAAATTTATAAAAACTCACTAAAAAAATCTTATATATTAAAATATTTCAACTGAAAACGATTACGAATTCCGCAGCTTCGGCCAGCACTGCCGAGTCTCGCCTCGCGCCTCTCGATTTCCCGCAGCTTAAATCGCAGCGCAGAAAGGATTTGAATTTGCGCTTAAAGCTAAGCTTGAACTACGGAAAAGGCGAAATTCCCCTTTAGATTCAGCGCGAACCTGCGAAGAGTTTTCTAATTTCGAACCGATATAAACAAAGAAAAAACCTTTGCATAATCAGTTGTTTTGTCGCATTATAACTATTATTCTCCACTTTATTACAATTCGATATTGTTACATCTGAATTATTTTCATTTGCTTTCGCAGAACCTCCCAACTCTATTCGAATGTTCAATTCCCCAACATCAATATTGCTACTGCTATTCTCGTAAAATATCTGCAAATTACCTGCCTTTTAGTAAACCTTCTATTAATCGGCTTTTGTGAAATATTCGCATTTTACATAAATTTTTCCTTTTCGAAATAAGAATTTTTTCCGGCAAAAAATAAAAAATATTCATCGTCGACGGATATTTAGTAATTTTATAAAGAAATTGCCAATTGAGAGGAAATATCAGTTCATAAAGAACGCCATGAGGACAGCTTCTTCCCTTCCTTCCGGTTCCAGTAACCACTAAGGCCCTGTTGCCGCCCGCAATCTGAAATCATCCTCTTGACTTCCTCACCGTTCACGTCCTTATCATCCTCTTGACTTCCTCACCGTTCACTTCCTTAATTCACCAGGAGGGCGGAAGTGGGGGTCCTTCCTGCTTATACCACTACGTTGTACCGCTTGACTATTTTGCTGCGAAGAAGTTATTTACCTGTAAAATCCTTAGTATAAGATTGTTGTAGTGCCTATAGGTTTTCGATGAGGAAATCGAGAGGATGATTTTAGATTACGAGCGGCAAGAGGACGGTGGGCAGTAGGGAAAAGCCTTATTTCATATTTTTTAAACTTCATTCTAAATTATGTTGTTTGCACCTTTTCTGCTGTAGGGAGGCATCGCCAACTCAAAGCATACAGTGTTGCTCCTCTTAAAGCGCCTCGTGCTCCTACACTTCATATGCAAGTATTCAAACTAAACTTGTCTTACAATTTGGTTTTCCGTCTTCGGAGGGGGGATCACTTTCAAAATATATCTCAGCGGTCGGGTTCCGAACGATTGATTAAAACGACTTTGTTTTTTATTTGTTCTCTTCAAAACGCTTTTATCATGAGAGCTTTTCGAATGATAACGCAACCAGCCATCCTATTTCCAAATCAGAAATATCGTCAGAGTTTCTAAATTTTTCTTTCTCAGAAGTGGATGTTGTGCTCTCTTTTTAGTAAACTCAAATTAAACAGTGTATTAAACAGCGACGGAACAAATATTTTGATTCAAGGAGCAACATAAAATAAACCATTTGTTGAAGCACACACAATCCTATTATACGACTGTAAACTGTACATATATAGTTGGTGATATGAAAGACTGGGAGATTCGGAGACCAGGGAAAGGCTGTGAACGACACTGTGAACTGTTAATAAAAGATTACCTTAGAGGGAAAGTGCTTTTAGAAATATTCCTATCACGACCGTGCGATTTAAAAATCTAGTTTTCTTAAGATTCGAAGTGGGTGGGAAGGATGATAAGGGAAAAGGAGTGGGAGCAGGAAATAAGGGATCTCGTTTGCAATTTTTGTTTGTCATTTCTGACGCTGTCGTCATCGTCCTCCGCGCTGCCTCTCCTCTGTGCCCAAACCAGACTCACCATTTGTTATTCCCACTCATTCTCATTTTTTTTATTTACAGCCAAACCAAGTCCGAGGCAAAGATATACGAGATAAAGAAGCAATACAGACAAGACAATATAATAATATCCCAAATCGAATATCGCAAATACGGTTTTATTCAGTTGGCCACAGATAAGACATTAACAATGTGTCTGATTAGCCAGTGTTCACTAGTGAATGCCTTCTAGACTAAATGATCATTTGGAAAGAATTTTTACTGATATGAGAGATAAAAATATATTTTCGAACGCTTAAGACCAATTTTTCAAAACAAAGTTGAGTGATTTGTTCTCAGCTGCAGCCAAAGATGAAGACGATGGGTTATGTGCCTTATGTAAGATATTTCCTCGCTTATCGCTAATTCGGGGAAATCATACATAATTGGTAAAAACTGCTTTCTGTTAGTGAAGTTCCGCGTAAACCAACATTTGAATGCAGGCCGAGAGGAATTGTGAAATGGCGCAGATGTCAAAATTTCATTATTTTTCAAGAACAGTTTTCATTATAGATTGATGAATCTATTTTACCAGACAATTATACTTTGCTTTTAACATACGTTCGATTTACCAAACATAAAAAATTTGCCAACATTTTCTATTCGTTAAAAATATAACAACTGATAATACTACCGGAAAATCGATATTTCTTGCAGATTTTTTTAGAGAAAAGAAAATTTCTCTGATTAATAAATAAATATCATATCAATTACTACCGATGGTGTTCTGGCCTTGGCTATCGCTGTCTCTCCTGTGTGATTGTTTCATCGACAATATTTCCTGGCAAGAAATCTCAACAATCGCCTGCATCGTTTTTAAAAATATGTAATTAGTACTGACAAAATCAGACAATGCTCTTAATGACAGATTTGCACGTCGCTGCGTAGAAAATGATGAAGACTAATTCGCTTGCTATTCCTTGATTCCGTTGTAAAGATTTTTTGAAAACTGATTTGCGAAACAATTTACTGATGTTTTAAATCGGCAAAATTTATTTATAGATTTGTATTGCTAATGAAATAAATCCACAGTTGCAAGGAGAACTTAGCGTTTATGTCAAAACTTTTTTAAAAGCACAACTTAGTAGGATTTTACTGATAAGATTTACTGTATTATCAGCACTTGGAAGCACTCCAGGATGATTTTAATTCTTCAAGACATCCTTAATATAAAAATTCCTAAATGGGTTTAGACCCATTTTCAAATATTAAAGAATCAGAATTACCATCGCAAGACGAATTAATCGATTTATCAACAAACGAAGAAAGCAAAATTAAAAGTAAAATTCAAATAAAATTTTGTAAAATTGAATTTTAAATAAAAGTACAATAAAATCAAAATAAGTCAAAAAAGTGGATATCATGGCTTTTGGTTGCAAAACAGCATCAATTTATCCTGAACTGTGGGCTGTTGCAATAAATTTTTTATTCCATTTCCTACATCACTTTTGACATGGTTTAGTGCAATGAAAAAAAAAAAGAAGAGGAACAGATTCCAAATAGTTGAAAAGTTAGGTCTGATGCCAAGCCGAAAACTGAGCCAAAAGCCAAATGTAGAAATCTTACTGGCATAAATAATATTAATCCAAATTTCTTATTTATTTTCATTTTCATACGATTATTTTTATTTAGATTTCATGCTTTGGGTGAACATTTTGACTATTCTTTACAGTTCCAATTTATGTACTTTGTTTTGCTTTATTTTCTGTATCATATAGAAGTTTAATAAATTCTGTTTTTTTGAAAATAAATAATAACTTTAAAACATTAGGTTTGCATTAGGCTTATTAGATTCAAAAATTACACGCAAACAATATTAGATCTGGAATTTTTAATATTAAAGTTAATCCAATTTTATTAAAAACACTTCAACTGAAAGGTGTCGATGAAGAAAATAAATCTAGAAAAGGAAGCGATCAACCAAAAAAAAGATTGGGAACCTACGCTGTGAAGCTTCAATTTGAATCGGAGTTAGCCAAACCACAAATAATATGATCAATTGATTACGAACTACAAATAAGATATTTCATAATTTAGACTTGCTATCTTAATAATTTTGCAATTATGAAATCGTTTCTACTTTTCAGGACTGGGAACCATTAAAGTTTGTGTAGCTATTGGGGACTGCACCTCTATCCCATGACTCTATGGGAATGGATCAAGCAAATCGCAAACGGTATAAGGCGTACTTTAAACGCCTAATGTATCGTTAATCCGGTGGTATATGCGATAAATATGTGAACCGGACTCAGTATTTGCCCGACATAATAACAATAACAAATATCAAAAACGCAAATTTTTGAGTTCAGATAACTGCTCCATTCCACTTAACAATTTTGCAATGTATTGGCCAGTGTCATGCTCGCAGGCTGTGCATAAATGATCTGGATTAAGATTTTATGCCGAGCTTACCATTTTTCTCAAAAAAAATGTGATCGATGTGATCGTGATCGAAGGAGATTGGAAGGAGATTGTGCTTACCGTCCTCAACAAGTATGGAGTCCGATATGCCAAGTCGCCAACATCAGACCACGTAAAATTTCAAATAACAGCTTTATTGATGCAGGAGAAATAGTCGAACCCTTGCGTCTTAATACGATAATCCAAAGAACTATTCCATGCAAAATAATAAATAACGGAATCGAAAAGTTATTTTTGTCAGAGTGGATAATTTTTGTTCAATGAAAAATTTTGTTGAAAATTAGCATTCATAATCCGCCCAGTAACCATTTGAAACGATTTTTTACATAATTTTAGATAAAATGTAATGAACAGTTGAAAGCAAGATTAATGATAATTGATGATTTTCTATTAATTCCAGCAATTAAAAAGATTTTTACTTGAATAAAAAATTTCCCATTAATTTTATCATAATTCTTGTTTAATCGTTTTACGATTTTGTTAATTTCCAGAAAAAATCTTTCTTCAAAAAGAATTCACTGATTATCAGAATAAAACCCAGCAAAATGAAGTGAGGCAAGATAACCGAGTGGATGCTCTCGGAATAAGGACAAGGATTCGGCCCTATCTTCGGCGAATCCTGCTGGCGGTTCCGTTTCTTCTTTGCCAACCTCCAACCGTATTAAGAGCTACGGGGGCAAGTCCATTTGTATTTCTTCTTTTTCAGCTTCTAACTATATTAAGAGCTAGTGGAGCCAGTCTAATTAAAAATGGTTAATCACTTATGATTTTAGCAAAAAAAAATGAAAAAAGAAATAGAAAATTTCAGGTCAAAAAATATATATTTCCGCAAAAAATTTATTAAAAAATGAATGAATTATTATTCCATTATTTCAGAATAAAAAATAAAATAAGTTTTCTAGAATCTAAAATCCATGGTTTCAGTGCTTCATTTAATGTTTTTTATCCAAAAAATTAATTAATTAAATTTAACTGATTTTCAAATGAAAAACAAAAAAGATAACTTTTTGAAAAAAAAAATTATTTACTTAGTCAAACCAACGAAAATTGCGAAAATTAAAATAATTAAAATTACAAAATGAATTAATTTCTCATTTTTAAAATATTGAGAAATTCGAATAAATCTAAGATAAAATTTCATAGTTAACCTAAATAATTCCATTTACTCAAAAGAGAGAGGAGAGACATTTCAGTAAATTATAAGAAAGGATTAAATCAGCCCCTTTTCTCTTAAATGTACAACAAATTTCGACCAAAACATTTTAATTATATTAATTATAATCATTATTAAATTATTAATATTTGGCAAAATATAAATAAAAATCGAGCGAATTTATCAATTTTGCAATAAACATCTTCATTAATTATGGAATTACTGGAAATATGAAAAATTTCCAAAAATTTTTTTATAAAATTTATTTATGAATCAAAAACAATTTATGAATCAAAAATAAAGAAAACATCAGAATTAGAATGGCTCATTGGCTTGTTATCTTCATTATATAAAGCCAATGCTCCTCCAACAAGAATGGATCCAAATACCTTCCAAAAAATCAATCCACCTGTAGATCTGTCGCCAAATGATTTTATGGCAAAAATTTCCCTGGTCTCAGAGAAGCTTACCGGAAATGGTAAACGCACTTTATCCTCATGAGAATGGCTGTTTACTAATTTAAATTTACTAATTATTCATGAAATTTTTTCCAAAGTACATAGAAACTTTTTTCCAAAGCAATCCATTTAAAAATATTTATATAGATGGCAGGATAGTCGAGTGACAATCGTATTGTGATGTAAAGGTCCGGATCCTACCCCTAAATAAAATTAATTAAAAATTAAAAAATCTGGATGGTGAAGAATCCACCTATCTATCTATCTCCAAATGATTCTTTGCTGAAAATTTCTTTGCTGAAACAGCCATTGGAGCTAGCCTAACCAGAAATGATGAGCACTAACCACTTACTAAACAGTGGCTCAGAGTACCAGCATCACTTGCAACATGAGATGAGATAGTTAAGCATGCAAAATGTACCACTATAAAACACTGGTCACTTTGTATC